GAGGTGATCTGGCTGAGGGCAGCATGGGGCCCTTCTTAGAGCTGCCCGAGAGAGCTTACCTATCCTTTTACCACCAGGTGATTTCTAGCCTCCAGAAGGCTGAGAAGTAGATGTTGTTTATAAGTCACTCAATCTATGGCATTTTGTTACAGTGCCGACTGAGATGCTGGAGAAGATTAAATTAAATAGGAAAATAATGGTGCATTTTTCACATACTGTGAAGAATACAATGATGTGAAAAAGTACTATTTTCTATAGTGGGAATGGTAATAAAAGAGCTCAGTAAACTTGTGGAATCTCGATTCTAGTAGTTGAAAGTATTCACATTTCTAAAAAAGAAGACCCTGGAAGTAAATTGTTGGGTTTATTTTAATAAAATCACTTTAAAGCATTTGAAATAAAAACATTTATCTATTTTAATAGTATTTTCAAATTTCCTTATATCTGTTTAAATAAACAATCTTGTATATAAAAATGGGTCAGAAAGGTCAGTCAGTAAATCAAAGAAATTGTATGAACAAACCTGAAAATACTCACTGTAGCAATAAGACACCTTTCAGCATGGATTTTGCAAGCACAGCTTACCTAGATTCCAAGACCCTTTTTACTTAATGCTGAGCTCTGCTTTACTAAAAGCAAATAAGGAATAAATTAGTTTATTTTAATTTACAGAATGTCATTCATCACCTATTTGGGTAAACATTTTTTTTTGACTTGAATTCTGGAAAAGCACTTAGAGCCTCTATTTTTATTTTTTATGTTGCTTTACTTATTTTTTTCCTCTTGTATTCCCTATCAAGCATTTTTTGCATTTCATTTATATAGTAAAAGCAGTTGAGCTGCATCATTTAGTGACTCTTATTTCACCCTCCATAAACTCTACTTTCTGCCTCCAAGGGTACAATAGCATTAAGCAAGTTTTTTTTTTCTTTTCTTTAAGATGATCTAGAATGTCTTAGGTTGGAGCACTAAGCAAGTTGCCTGCAGATGTACTTTCTAGTCCATTTGTTACTTCTGCAGTAATAAATGTCCACATTTGCTAATTCACAGTAATAAAGTGTGTGTGTGAGTGTATGGGACATTTAGATCTGAGAGGGGGTTTTTTTCACACATTGTAAGACCCTCATTGCTGTGTTAGGTTCAGTATTAATATGCTCCAGGTTTTAATGGGTTTCATTTATGGTAGCCTTACCCTAAATAAACCTTGCAAGAGAAATACATATGTTTTGATTTATGAAGGTTCATATGGCCACTTTTATTAGCTTTTCAGCCTTGTGGTCAGATGTGTGTAATAAGAGGAACGAGTGTTCACAATAACCTGCGACCTGCAGCAGCAGGCTGAGCTTTACCTTTTAAGACTTCTGAGCATCCCAGTTGGTACCTGGCCCTGTGTCAGTACCGCTGCATCACATGTGCCTTCTGGGAGCCTGGCCCCTAAAGATAAGCCATTATGAAATTTTCAAGAAATATATTCAATAAAATTGGCTAGACTTTAGTAATTGTCTAAATTTATATCACAAAAGCAAATAATCTTTGACCTCCACTACGTTAAAAAAAAATGTTATGTGGGCTAAAGAATAGATAACTTGAAATTTTTAGTACCATGAGAAGTGTATTGAATTTGTCATTTAAACAATATTGTCCTCATAATCTGTGTTTTCCTCAGCCTACTGCTTATTATTTTTGTTGTCTTAAGTAAATGGCAATCTTGAATTTACTTACACTGTCTCACAGTGATGTGAATACACACACACACACACACACACACACACACACACACACACACCTAATCTAAAGATAACTATTCCACTTGTAGCAATTACTTTTGGAGAAAATTCTGGAAATTTAAATATTATTTATATGGGCACCAAAAGCAAAAATCACCTTTCTCTTCTTGATACTTTTTTAAGGGAAAAACTTAAGGCATGGATATGTTAGATTTTAACTACAGAGTTTTTAAAATTGCTTACATCAACATATAAAGAAATATAACTTTTTAAATAAATAGGCCTTCTTTCCAATTTAGTTTAGGAAAACTTAAGGAAAGAATTCAGATAAAATTTTAAATCTTTTGACAGCTCTAGAAAACCTCTTCATGCAGAAGTCTGTGAAACTACTTGGAATTTAATCTATAAAAGTTTTCAAGGAACAAATAGCTTATTTAATGATGAATCATTTTGAATGAGTATTTCAATATTCTTTTTTAATAATGATAATAGAGAAAATATGCTAAAATTATGTGAGTTCGATTAGTGGCATTTTAATTGTCATTTATTTTCTAGATGTGTCCTTTATTTTCTATTAGTGTCATTTATTTTCTATATGTGAGATGACAAAGGCAGTGGTCACTACTGACAATAATGTCATATTTACTGAGTTCATATCACATTTGAAACATGCCTTTCTGATTTAATCTAGTGAGTGAGTCCCTGAAGTAAATTACTAGATTTGAATCAATTTCTTCCTGGTCCACCATCTTTTTGTCAATTTGCATTCAATCAAAAAGAGGAACTACATAATAATTCTAGTCCCGAGGATTTCAACCTATGAATTCATTACAAAAGCACTGGAAGGCCTGAAGGCGTGAAGGAGGAAAGAGAGACCGTAAGAGACCCAGGCACTGTTGCTGCTCCCAGGAAACCAGGGCCAGCGCCCACCAGTGGTCAGCTTCAGACCCGAGTTTCTTGTGCTGTTGGAAAGGAGACTCCAGGGATCAGGAGCTGCTCCCTGCTGAGCCCTGACCCTTATGTGGTCCCCAATCAGTTGTCACCACTGCTGTCACAGACGCAGGCATCACCAGGAGGAGAAAAGCACATGGTCAGAGAACATGTCAGTGGTACTCTGTGTCAGGAAAGACCACCCTGGAGAAGAGGGCTGCCTCACTGGGGAGGGCAGTGAAGGCTACTCATTGTCCTCAGGCATCTGTTCCCTCTTACCTACTCCCTGGTTCATCCCATTCACTTCCTTGAGTTAGACCACCATCTGTCTAACACAGATTCTGTTTTTTGTGTGTGGGGGGGTGGTACTGGGGATTGAACTTAGGAGCCCTCTCCCACTGAGCCATATCCCCAGCCCTATTTTGTTTCTTATCTAGAGACAGGGTCTCACTGAGTTGCTTAGCAGCCTTGCTTTTCCTGAGGCTGACTTTGAACTCCAATCCTGCTGCCTCAGCCTCCCGAGCTGATGGGATTACAGGTGTGTGCCCTAGTACCCGGCATAACACAGATTCTTACCATTGATCTTTGTAGCTGCCTAATCTGGAAATCTCACTCAGTTCCAAGGGCATGTCCTATAAGATGGATACTGACAGGACATTTTGCCCTGCAAAGTCCACAACTGTCAGCACTAGGTTTGTTGACAGGAGCTTTGAAAAGAACTCAAGAAATGAAGTCCAAAATGGGTTCACGCTTCAGCATTCCAGCTAACCCTAGGTACATCATGGTGACTGTGTGTCAGTGTGCACATCTGAAGCCACTTTCAGAAAAAATATTAATCCATCTTCCTAAGGACTCTGCATATGATTCAGCAATCAAGATGTAAAGATGTGAGAAGACTCTGCCAAGAAACACGCAATGATTAAGTGTCCAACAAAAGCATTTCCATGAAGATAGTATTATCTCAGGTTTTAAAGTAAAAGAAACATTTCCCCATATATTCAGTCATGTGCATTTATTAATAACTAAATTGTGCATGTACATACATATATTCAAAGATAAATAACAGAGATTTTAAGACTCAATGAAAACAAAACACTATTCATGAAGAAAAACTAGTACACCCCCTCCAATAAGTTATCTTCAACTATAATTTGATAACTAGTGGCCATTCTTACATCATAGGTTGGTGTTTAAATAGAATTTAAATGGGACAAAAATGTGGAGGCTATAGAATTCAGAAATCAACATTGCCTTGGGATATGAAGAAGTGCTATAAGAGGCATATAATTAGAGCCACTCAATAGTAGTTCTGTTGTTTCATTTTACCTACATATTTTATTGAAAGACCACACACAGAGAATACTGTGTATCAACTATATCCATATGAGAAAATGATCTTTTACAAAATTGACACATCATGCAACCAGCACCTTAAATTATCAGGATCCCTTGAACATTGTTCATGGCTGCATCCCATTCACTATGCCACAAAGAAAACTCTGCCCAGATTTGTAAAATTATAATTTTTTTACAGTTTCTACTTTAATGGAATCACATAGATGCTGCATGCCTTTCTTTGTTCAAGGTTTGTGAAACACATTGATGCTGTTACACGTGAGCAGATGAATTCATCATCCATGCTGGATAGTTCTCCCCTTGGGGATGTGACATATCTAATCATCCCACCACTGAAGGGTGACTGGGCTGTTGTCTTTCCTTCTCGCCTGCTGCCTTTCCTCCCTCCCTCCTTCCTCCCTCCTGTCCTTCTTTCCCTTCTTCCTCTTTCCCTCTTCCTCCTCCTCTTCCTCCTTCTTCTTCTTTGTGAAAAAGTTCTTCATTTACTTTGTGGTAATCAGGACATTCTAGGAAACACTGAAATATTGAATCATGCCCTGGAGACAGGGGAACTGTGGCGTTTAGGTGTTATTTGAACAGCTATTTAAGCTGCCTGCTGTCCTGGTGATTCCCATACTCGTCCTTGTGACTGAGAGGTGCCTGGTAAGGAAGGGCTTTGCCACGTGTGCAGACGCAGGTGAGTCCACGCTCAGCAGAAGCTGTTACCTGTTTGAAAATGCACCCATTGATTCACAGGCCCACCTGGGGCACATGAGCCTCCAGATGTTCCCCGTCTTCAAGGCTAAAATGCTGCTTACTGGCTTTTGCGTTTTTGCCTTTTGGGGGTATGTTGGTAAAATCTCATTTTTGGTTTTAATTTGCATCTTCAAACAAATAATGAACATTAGCCAATTTTTAAAAAGTTAATCATTTTTTAAGTTGCCCCTCTAGGAGAAATTACTTTGACATCCTTCATTATAAAGATGATTAACTTAGTTTTTATTTTCTTTTGTAGATACATTTTTTTTATCACTTGAAGGAAGTTCTCAGAAATTAATGCTTCATCTACAGCTATACTTCTATTGAGGTAATGATGTGGTATTTTTTTTCTTTTTTACTTGTTAACGTGGTGAATTATATCAATGAATATTCAAATATTACAACATCCCTCCATTCTGCAATGTGCAACATTCCCATGATCAGTTATTGATATTCTCCATCCTGACATTTGACTTAAGTGGGCCAATAATTATTTTGCTGTGGTCCAATAGTGTCCTTGCTGGGATTTGATATGCATGTGGCTTGAGATGACTTGGGAAATGTCCCCCTTCTCTATCCTCTGCATGAATTTATGTAAATTGGTCCTGTCAACTTTAAAATATTTAGTAGAATTCACTGATGAAATTGGATGGACTTGATCTTTTCACTTTGAGAAGTTTTGGTAACAAATTTGGTTTTATTAACAGCTGCTAAGTTACTTACAATTCTACTTATTGCTTTGTGAACATATGACCAATTGTGGAAAACATACAGATGTGATTGAAAAGTATGTGTACTCTTTTTAAAATTATCTTATAGTCACAGGGATTATATTTATTCCTGGTTTTATATCATTATTTATTATTTTATTCATTTTGTATTCTTTATTTCTTGCTATCTTTGTAATACTCATTTTCTATTATCCATTTTCTAATATATTAACTTTATAGATATTACTACATTTATCATTCTTTCAGAAGTTATAAAAGATACTTTTAAAATATTTAGCCTACTCTTCAGAGGTAAGGTATATTTTTATTATTTATATTCATACTAAATTATGCTTTTATAACTCAGTTTAGAACTGGTTGAAATTTTAAATTTTCCCTCACAAAATCTATCACCTGAATCTTTTAAGGTGTTCAAACCAACTGCCACATTTAATTTCTTGCTTTTTTGATAATTTTAAGTAATAACTTCTCAAATAGTATGAGGTCAGCTGCAAATAATAGAAACATACCCTGATTGTCTCCATCCCAGGCTGCTATCTCGAATCATCTTTTTTCCACTTATCTTTTTGAGTCATGCTAATTTTTCAGCTTCTCGCTGTGTAGACATGTGCCTCTTGTTGGTGGCACACGGTGGCCAAAGTACATCACAATAAAAAGGGACAGAAATGGCCCCAGGTCCTTCTGATGTTTCAATTTCAGTGCTCAGCACTAACTAATCCATTTGATGCCCATAACCTTTGATTTAGTCTCTGGTTGGCTGCAGCAGCTCCTCACTCCACCCTGATGGAATCACCTGTGGTAGGAGGCAGGATGCACCTGCTACCTGCAAGGTTGTCGGCACTGTGCACGAGGGGTGTGTGAGGTTTCAGGATCTTATAAGAACTTGTGGGTATTGAGATAAAGAGGTCATTTTACTTGCCCCTGTTAAACTTCATCTTATTTAATTTAGGACTCTTTTCTTACTATCTCATTTTTGGCTCCCATTTAACATTTACATTCATGAATTTTGAGATTATTATTCTTGTAAATTTGATACAGGAAATTATTTTTAGGTAATATTGCTTAATAGGAATTAATTTATTTTCATAGTCAAACAAAAAGTTCCATTTTCTACATAAATGAGAAAACTTAAATTTGAAAAGTATAATGTAAATGACAATTAACTCCCCTACACTTTTAATACCTTACCCACTGTGCTCTTTCTCTGAGGGCATCCACTGTAATATCTTACATCTTGGTACTAGTGTCATCCTGTTAAGGGACTAGAATGTGAATAGTTTTATATGTAATATATATCTGTGAGTTATGAATTTCATATTTGTTACAGATTTCTTGTTCTCCTAGAGAATAGTAAGATAACACATGAGAAAGGGCTATATGTAGAGGCTTTTACATGTCTCATTTTTTATGTGAAATAAAAAATATCTGAGACATTGAAAATCTTATTTTCTAGGTCAGATGATAACTGATCATCATTAAATCCAGTCCCTACACACATAAAAATGGTTAATTTTAACCAGGGTAGCATTCCAAAAAAGATACATAGTAAATAAAATCATTATGATAATATTTGCTGATAGAAACTACTGTTAAGCTGAATTATCAGAAATGATTATTCTTCAAGACACTGCATTCCATTGTTAGGGTTCCCCAGGACAGTTCCTAAGCAGCTCTCATTCTCTTCCAGCATAAGGAGATTTCATCAGATGAGTGAATTTTGAAAAATAGAATTAACCATTTTTCATATTTCTGACGCTCGGGGTCATCTGGGTAAGCACCTGGGGTCGCATGGGCATTAAGAACAAATAGGGGTCTCAAGCCAGAGGATAGGAGTGGAGTTTCCCTTCCCTATTTTGTAGATTCGTATGTCCTTTTCAGAATTTCCACCTGAAAACACTCAGTTCTCATTTACTTTTCTTCTCCCAGGCTCAGTTTCTGTAAATGAGCTTCAGGGCCAGTCTCAGGTCACATAGCATGGGAGGTAATCCTCCTGTTAGCTGGTGATAATTAGTTAACTCTTCTTATCTCGGTTTCTACAACCACATGACCTTGGAAAAGTATTTCATCTCTCTACCAAACTCATAATTTAGTAATGAGAAATGAATGAGATAATGTGCATTAAGATTTTAATATAGTACCTGGAACAAAATAATCCTTCTGTGAATGCTAACTGCTGTAAAGTTGCAGTGGGTGGGCAAAGCACGCTAATAGTCTTACCTGGGCTGCTTTGATGTCAGGTAAATGTAGCTCTCTCAGAACACAGTTCAGAGCGGACACTGTGTCTTGAACAGGGGCGGGATGCTTCTTGCAGCAGAACAGGGCCAGTAGCAATTCAGCCTCCTTTGAGTTCCTCCCCCCGACCCTATCTGACTTCTCTACCTTCTCCTCTTCCTTTTTCTTCTAATGATGATGATTATGAAGACGACCATGGTGCCTCTTTAGAGGTATTATTATAATTTAATCTGTGGAGTAGCTTCCTTCCAGGATTCTATCTCATTAGAGTCCTTCTAATGTGATAATCCTGTCAAATCAAATTAGGCTTGCTTCATGATGGCTGCATGTCATATCTTTCACTGTTCTTTATATATGTATATATGAAGCTTAATTATCTCAATGCAAATAAATAACAGATAAGCTGAGAATCACCTGGGAAGAGCCAGATGGAGAGAGACCTAGGAGACAGATGATCCCAGTTATATGGAGATCTGATGCAAATTTTAGTTCATTTGTTAATATGACTCTCAATATAGTATTTTATTCATTAATTAACTTACTAATTACTTTATTTGAAAACAAATATAGTATTTTATTCATTAACTTACTAATTAGTTTATTTGAAAACAAACAAAAACAAGTAGAAGTGAACTTTTACCAGTTTTTAACTCCCATACCCATTAACCTAGTGCACATCCACCCACAAATCCGACTGCTCCCTGTGATGGTGGTTGCATACTTTGTAATCAAGCTAGCTTGAATGCTACCTCAGGTCTCCACGTGGGACCTAGCCCTTCCCGAGGAAAAGATGTACATGTGTGCTCCTAAAACCTTTTTGTGTGCATGTATTTGTGAAATAGAAGCCTCATTAAAACAGAGAACTCAGGGGAGGGTTCCTCTTTTCCAAACTTAAAGGAGGTAATATCTGTATAATCTGATCATTTCTCTTTACTGAGTCAGTTCCATTGACACAAGAACTTGCTATAATGTTTTCCTCTATATCCAAAGTAAAACCAGATGCTCCTTTTACATATAATTTCTAGAATATGCTCTGCTTAATAGTGTATGCTATCTGTTGGCTAGAATTACGTTTTGGTTTTAAACTGTGTGCAGAAACTGATTTCTTATACCTTTCTGGAATGGCTCACTTGGTACTTGGGACACAAAAGGGGCACCCATGTTCTGTCCTCACTGTGGGTAAGCATCAATCTCCAATATGAGTCACCTAAAAAGACCTTTAAATTCACTGGTATTTGGATCAAGCAACTGGGGTTGGTGATACATACCTATAATCTCAGCTGCTTCTGAGACTGAGGCGGGAACATGACAAGTTTGAGGCCAACTTGAGCAACAGAGCAAGGATCTGTCTCAAAATAAAAATAGAAAGAACTGGGATGTTGCTCACTCAGTGATACATCTCCCCTGAGTTCATTCCTCAGAACCAAAAAAAAAAAAAAAAATTGTCTGTTGTGTTGTGCTGCCCAGGTAATGGTATATTTAAAAGTCAGCAGAGATTATTCTAATTTATAGAATTATTGAAACCAGTGGATTGGTTGTAGAATCTGTAATCATGGCCAATTTTATATTAGGTTAGTTAAAATAAATTATAGCATCCTAAAAAAGTCTGTTCCTTGAAAAGAAAGATAAGCAAAGCGATTACAAGAACAGTAACATAATACCTAACAATCCTACCAGCTGGCTGCCCTCCAGGATCTCCACCAGTTTTGGAAGGATGCCACCACCAAGCTTCTCATTCAAGCACTCAGCGGGGACAGCATTCTATTTACAGATACTTGGGGAGAGAATTTCAGTGGACTAGTGTTGATCAGATAGTCATTTCTGTGTCCCATCAACTGAGTAGGAGACTCAAGTCACTAATTAAAACATGGCCCTATTGTGCAGTTGTCTAACATAACATTTGAAATAAAAAGAAAACTAGAAACTCCGAGCACTTATTTCTACAGACACTGATTTTATTTGGTCTATTATGTTAAGGCAAAGAATGAAAAATTATTGTACTTGTGGAATGTTTTAAAATTTATTTAAGCTTTACTATGGTTTCACAGAAATTCCCTATTGGCTCCCCTTCTTTTCAAGTTAAAAAATGTGGAAATAGTGGTATTTCCTCATATTAAAAGTCTACTGCATACAACACACTTCCTCCCCTATTATGTACTGTCACATCAAAGTAATATATGGCCCTAAGAGTTAAATGAATTCATGCTTCAGATACAAAGTTACTAGTACATTCTACAGTAAGTAAAGGATATTCCATAGATGTCATTTCTCTCTGACCAAAGTCACAGTGACCATTTTTTTAGGGTTACATTAAATCCTAAAGCTCCAGCTATTTCAGAACTCTTTCAAATATGTTGTAGAATAT